TTGCATTTGTAGTCTCAGTGATAATGAGACCTTTGCCATCCGCAAATAACTCAAAAGATGTCAACCAACGCGTCCAGCGCGGTCCCAACGTGGCGGGAACCGAGTGACAATCGAACTTAGGAATCGCATTTGAAGCGCCATTTTCGCTGATATAGTAAAATTAAAGCTCACCTCTGAAGCTCATTCTGTATTTTTATGAGTGGGATAAAAAAGGTCTGGAGGAGGAAATAGATAATGTTATTGTTTACATTTAGGTACTGCTTACATTCATGGAATGGAACATGCAACTGGTAACTACGTAATAATCATGGATGCAGATTTGTCTCATCACGTGAGTTTATCAAGCTCTTAATCATCAAGTAGATAGTTTCACTGTGTCTAAAGGGACGATGAAAGGACAGAAAATTGGAGAGATGGAGAAATTAGCGAGGAAAAACTACTAACAACTGCCCATTCCTTGCAGATTACTGTCCGATCTATTCACGCAGACATTTAATCCCTTTACAGTACACTAATTGTTTCTTGAACAAACTGCTTTCCTATACAAATTTCAACATTTACTCTCTAAGGTTATTGCTCCGTGATGTAATCACTTTTACTAAATAAATCTGTCTTTATTTCAACAGCCCAAGTTTATTCCAGAATTTATCAGGTTGGTATACTAACCGGTATACATTTTTTGTGAAAATCATTGATTAATTTTACATCTCCTTTTCATTTTCAATTGTCATAACTTTATTAAGTCATTTTGTTCTTGTAAAAGAAAACAGAAAGAAGGTAACTATGATGTTGTGTCAGGAACAAGATACATTGGAAGTGGTGGAGTGTTTGGCTGGGATCTGCGAAGGAAATTAATAAGGTGAATATTGCATAATAATGTTTGATGTATTATTGATTTTATTTATCATTTGCCATTTACTAAGTAAGTGGAATTCTTTACCCCCTAACATCAAGTCATAGTGTTTTAAGAACCAGCTGCAATGTGTGCGATTGGTATTTTTTCGGTCTCTAGGAAACAAGGGAAATGTGTGAAATTTGAATTACTGAAATGGTTTCGATTCATTGGATTTTTTACGTTTTGAGTGAGGACAGAGAATCAAAGGTTTAACTAGATTTTTAGATGGTTAGCTGGGGTTTCATCTTGGTTCCATTCAAAGCATTAATAAAAATATGTTATACTGGGTCACATTACATGTTGTCGCAAACTACTAGATAGTGTCTGGAAGGGTTTAGCTTGTGTTGAGCTTAGCTTACAGCTCAGGTTCAGGCAAATTTTGAAATTGTCACAAAAATAATCATTTCCATATTTTAATATGCTTATCTTTTGTTTTTACCAGCCGTGGGGCTAACTATCTCACACAGATTCTTCTCAGACCAGGAGCATCTGATCTTACTGGGAGTTTTAGGTAACACAATGGGGCATTGACACAATGGCCCATGCATGGTTTGTTTGTTTTCTTTTTAAAATTAGCTCTTCTTTCTATTTATTTAGTCCATGTTGTCACTTTTCAGTCATGGCGATCATTGACAATTTCTGAACAGTAGGTCTCCCTACTAAAAGCAATAAAAACAACAAAGCTACTTCTTGCCCTCCCCTCCCCCCTCCATTATAGTTACATGTGGTAAGTTAACCAGTAAGTGGTAAGTTACTTACCAGTAAAAGTCCAATCATTGGAGAAACCCAACGAATAATAATGTGGGTTATTAGAAGTGTACTTTCTCCTGTCTCCAATCAGATTGTACAAGAAGGAAGTTCTTGAGGATCTTGTGGATGCTTGTGTGTCCAAAGGATTTATCTTTCAGATGGAAATGATTGTGCGTGCAAGACAGTTTGGTTACACTATTGGAGAGGTGAGTTAATAAGGCAGACATCACTTCAATCATGATGGGGTGTCTATTTGCTGATAACTGTGGAGGAGGGAGAGGAAGAGGAATGCATATGAGTCCCCCCTGTGCTGTTAATACTTTTGTTTACCTACATGACACACCCCAGTGCTCATGTTGGATTAAAGTCTCTACAGCAAACCCAGGGTGCGATCCATTCACCCAAAATTTCCGGAAATTTCGGTCTAAAACTGAATGGATCGGTTCGGTCCAACCAGAAAGGTTTCGAAAAAGTTGGTCCACCTTTCGAGGTGGACCACTTTTCTGTCTTCATCTAGCCCTAATACAAGCAACAGTGACCCAACATCCTGCATTTTAAAATGAGCGCGTGACTCGTTACGCGAGTGGAATGGAACGAGACTGTTTGGACCAGTCTCGTGATCCATTCGACACCAAGAAATTTTGGAACCTCCACGTGGAAATTTTGGTTAAATGGATGGTGCCCCTAGGCTCTCATGACCCCACTGATGTACTGGCAACTGGGAAGTTTTTGTAGTATTAGTTAAAAAAATTCACTTACATCTCCAGAGATGTCAAAACAGTGTGGAAATACAAAAGATTAAAGTATGGTATATCCTTAACAGCAATGCAGCTGTTAGGCGTTCTTAGCTGGGAGCTGTTGACCAAAGTTGTAAAAGTCTCCCATGGTGTTGTATAATGCATGATAAGTTGAAATTAAAAGAAAAGTTCTGCTCATCTTCCAGACTAACATTTTTAATTTGCCAAGTAATAAAACATTACACAACAATTTTATGAATCAATTGTCTCACTGAAAGGGTTTACTTAGCTTTATGTTCAAGGATACAAACTATAAGATAATTTTTCCACAAAATGTTTTTCAGGGTAACTTTACCTGAAACGTGCACTGACAATTGAAAATTGTTTGTTACAAGTAGGCTACGTGTAGGTTATGCTGAGCACTTACACGAGGATCCCAATAATATCTCTGTGTAAAAAAAAACAGGCCCTGTTTGTAAACTAGTGACTGATTTTGGCTCTCTGTTTTGTTTCAGGTGCCAATAACATTTGTTGATCGTGTGTATGGCGAGTCAAAACTCGGCGGTAGCGAAGTAGTTTCCTTTGCTAAGGGACTGCTTTATCTGTTTGCCACCACGTGACATTTGACTGTTACACCGCGTTAGATTAAACCCGGAGGGGGGGGGGNACTGCTTTATCTGTTTGCCACCACGTGACATTTGACTGTTACACCGAGTTAGATTAAACCCGGGGTGGCGGGGGACTTCCATATGTAAAGGTCGGGGATGTGCGTCGGGAAATTTGAATTAAACCTATAAAGGAGAACAATTTGGGCGTGGCTGGAACTTAATTTGATCCCCATAAGATACCTCTTAAAACGGCATAGATTACCAGCTGCCATTCAGGAAGGGAGCTCGCACTACTGTAGTAGACCGGATTCGAGAGACCGGCGGAAATCAAGCCCAAAAACAGAAATAGCCTGAGCGTTTCTTTTATCATTAATTGTTTCTTTAAGTGCACCCGACAAGATACTTTAATAGCTATAAATAGTGGCGTTTTGTAATCAACTCCCTAAGTGAGACCAGAATCCTTGATTTATATACCAGGAGCTTCTTTTTATACCCCTAAGCGAGACAACGTACATCCCTGACCTTTTCATATGTGAGTCTCCCGTGCAGTCAAATCACTCAGTACTGTCGTTATTCGGCCTAGCCCCAAGTAGACAAGAAGATATACTTCGAACGTTATATGGCAATTTTTGTGCGTTTTCTGGTGTTTTCCTCAAGGTTTTTTCATCGTGAATTCTTTACAAAAATCAGTAAAGATGTCTAGTTGTATTTGTTGATTACAGCAAGGAAATACGTGGGTTTAGATGACGTGGTTCTATAAGAAAGGCAGACAATAAGTTATTTTTTACACATAATTGTATAGGTGAATGGGAAAACGGTAATGATAGAGAACAATAAATTTCATCATGAATGGATCCTTTAACAAATCGTTTAGAGAACTCTTACTCTTACACCGTCGTCTTGGTTTTATTAATATCAGTTAAAGGAGCTCAGTCACGGTTTGCGCATATTTAAAAGTTTAGGACTCGTTTAGCCTCTATTTCTCAAATTTCTTCTCCATCCTTAGCCATCCTTGTTCCTCTATGGTTTATCATTATCTCTTTGGTGTTTTTCTATCTTATTAAACTGTTATTTTCAGGTTTCCTATCATTTAAAGGTAATTTTGTATGTGGCCAAAATAACTTAAAATACCGCACTGAGCTCCTTTAAGCTCTCTCGGCTGTATATTAACCTCATTTTTGTGATATTCGCTTCCGACAACCCCCTTCCTAACCTCGATAGGTGGAAATAGTGCATCGCGCCAACTTCCTCTTCTTAAAACCAGCAGCGGTTAGTCGTCGAAACGAATTTATTCGAAGAGCAAAATCGGCGCTACGGAAGTTAACATAACTCTCGTCCCCTACAACTGTACGTTTTTAATTAAAAGAAAAAAACGTTATTATATGCTGCCGTGTTTCTCTCGCAGAATGCGACATGAAAGTGTTACCCGATCAGTTAAGAACAAAATGACTCTAAAATAAAAATTCATATTAAGGCAGTTTAAAGAAAATTCCCTGCTGCTGCTATAAGTTACAAATTTGAAGACGAAGTTCCCATTGAGAAAACATTGAGAGACCTTGTGCTATATGTATTTGAAACTCCTAAATCAAAATTGGCTCTATATATACTGAACATTCCGCCGACAGTAGTGAACCAGGAGCAATTAATGGGCCTTTTAATTTCACCAATCGTAATGTAGGTTAGATAGAGGTCATAAGGTTTTAGACTGTAAAACAGTCGGTTTTTAGTGAATCGAACGCGCACGGTGTTCGCCCCAAATTGTAAGGTCCTCAAGGTTCACACAATGAGCGCCTCGCCAGTTCGGTTGAGAAACGTCCCTTTGGAAGAGGTGGATGCCTTCACTTATCTGGGCAGTGTAGTACACAATCCGGGGGGGAGGGGGGGAAGGAAACAGGAGCCGCCGTGTCAAAGCCAGGATCGGCAAAGCAAGATTAGTCGCCTTGCAGTTGAAGGACATAGGGAGTTGCAACGAACTGACACTACAAACCAAGATCGGGATCTTTAATGGCAAACCTGCCTTACTGTATGGATCAGAGACCTTCGTCAATGCATGCCCACGAGGAATCGTCCAGCCGAGGTTGAATAAACACCATCAGCAAAAGCGACCTCTGGCAAAGAACTAACCAGATGCCTGCAGATGTGAAGGTCACGCTCTCTGCAAGCCTCCGACCAACATCACTAGGGTAGACCTCCAGAATAAGCTAAGGGGAAGAGGAGACAGCCGAGAACACCTGCCGCCGGGACCTGAAAGCAGACATCAGGATATTGGGGCTGACCTGGAGGCAGCTAGAGAGGATCGCCCAGGACGGAGACGTCTGATGGACCTTTGTCGGCGGCCTATGCCCCAGGAGGGGTACTAAGCGTAAATAAGTAAGTGCGGTTTTCGAACGCAGGAAGCCTAAGTATGCGCGAGAAGCGCGCGAGATTCAATGCCTTCGGTGCACACGGAAAACAACTGTTCTGCAGTCTAGTTGTAATGATTTAAATTAATTCAATATTTCTTACATTCAATATTTTAAGAGGGTAATACCAAAAAGCTAACGTTTACAGCCCTCATTGACAAAAGTATTCGTTACTTTGGATGAGTGAAACAATCTAGATTTTTAAAGACATTTTGGAAAAGCACTCAATTATTTTCATCCTTTATACAGTGTGCATCCCGTTTGGTTGTACTTACTAAAGGAAATTAGATCCACACGTTACTGATAAAACTGATATATCTTTATTGAAAATATTCGAATTACTAACAGAGGTTGAGATATGTATAAAAATATGGTTACTTCCAGCGATAACAAAATAAAACCACTGTTTGAGAGCAAATTTAACATTTACAAGACAGATTTAGGGGAACAGTTTTACGTTATTAAATCCGAAACAGAACTCACTCTACATCTTTTGGTACGTCCAAGTTACGTACGCTTGTGAAATAATCCGACTAGCCGACAAAATCATCCAGCAGTTTTGTACTCGCTGATTTTCCGAACATAAAACTCGTTTCCCCAACCTCGAAGTAGCATGACCGACTCGGATAATGTTGTTAAGAACTGTGGTTTTATACTAGCTATGAAGTTACGTAGCGTATTTCTCAAGATTGCAATGCTGATTCAAAGAAATCGGTCCGAGATTAATTAAACCTCTTGGGGCCGGGTCGTTCAAAGCCCTCTTAAGCTAACCCAGGATTAGCGAGAATTTGGATTTCAGTTTTGTAACTCTTCGGGTGACGTTTTCTGTTTATATCGTTTGTCCTTCAGTTTTGAGCCTGTGTGATCTCAAAATGCACAAAACATAAAAAGTGAAAAAATTTTTATTCAAGAAAAATTAATACTTCGGTTAACTTTTATTCCTGGGTTAGCGTTAACCAGCAATCGAACAACCCGCCCTGACCGATGAACCTGAAAACTCCGGCAGGAGACACCGCTGGACAAGAGGTAATCGCAGGCTTTCTATTGGTGTTGTTCCTCATCATCGGATTAAAATAACAAAGAAAACTAAGCTTTGAGTTTTAGCATAAAATTTAGCTCTTTCTGTAAACACGGTTGAAGCGTTTTTCGAAATATATAACACTTCGCGTGTTTAAATAACGGTATTGTAAAATTGACTGGATACCCAGACCAGCCTGAATTTAACACAAGAAATAGAAAATTAGCTACTTGTGTTTACATAGCGACATGTACCACATTACTTGCCTACATCTTCAGTTTGAACACGACATTCAAATCTTCCGAACGTTCTGTCCTAAACAGAACAAACGCCTTTAACCAAAACATGGCATGGCTTTCACGACTTCAAAGGACTGCCTTAGAATTGACTCCATGAAAGAGCCTTTGGTAAGGTCGGGCAAAGCTTCCACGATTTCAGTGCTTCAGACCAGTCTAGGGTACTGAATGTTTCCAATACGCTGTGTAATCACAAGTTGTTTTTTTCTATTTCTCAACCCCCCTCCCCACCTTCACCAACTGTGATTTCTATCACATTTATCCTTATACTTTTAATATTAGAATGAAGAGAGAGTGACTACAAAACCCCATCCACAATACGCCGGAGAAATTTTGAAGGCAGAGTTTTCAATCCGGACATTCATCAAATGTTTTCCGTCCACACTACCCCGGAAAAATTTGAAAATGCAACAATCACCGGCGGCAGAAAACCTGGAGTGTACCCGTAAGGGTTAACAAGACGTCCTCGTTTACAAAAACCTCCGTTTTTAAACTGTTTTCCGTCCACACTAAAGCGAAAAGCCGACGTTTTCAAATTCTTCCGCTTTGAAGAGCGTTTTCGAAAACCTCCGTTTTCAGTCCGGATTAGTGTGGGCGGAAGGCCTAACCGTAGAAATAAAGCTGCGTTTTCAAATTTCTCCGGCTTAAGGCGAGCCAGCATAAGTCGAAAGCATAAAGACTGTTTAAGGAGGTTCATAGAAATACGTCTTAATACAATGCGAATTTCATAACGCAGAGATGAGAACAAGAGAGAAACCCATTTGGCTTTTCTCGTATCACAAAGAGAAGGTTCGCGCTTAAAGGAGTTTAACTTCAAAATAAATCATTGCTCATCCTAAATCTCACTACCTGATAATGCCAGATTCTCCTTTTAACTCACTCTAGACATATTTTCACCAAATAAGTAAAAAAAGCCGTAAAATATTCTAAAAAAAAAAACGTTTTAATATGATGCAAAGAATGTATCAAAATACCTAACTATTAAAACACATTTTAAACTAATTATTCATTTTCTCACTACAAATTTGTAATATGACTATTTAATTAGAGGGTGTTTTTCTCAGGTTCAACCTCGGAAATTTTCGAAAGTGTATATGTGGAACATCACGAAAGTAAATCGGTCAACTGTTGATATAAACGATCTTTTGGGGTTTGACGGCGCGGGCAAGTCATTCATTTAGTTCAAATCTCGCGCGAAACGTAAGCATACGCCTGCGCTGATGCGTCCGTGCGCCCGGCAACTAATCAGAACAAAGACGGTGCCTGGAATTGGCTGGCATTTCCCGCGCTTATCAACGGGTAGTTGGTCTTGCTCAGAGTTTTGAAAGCTCAACTCAGTTAACGCACCGTGAAAGACTTTAGAATTGCCCTCGAGACAAGAAACCACCTAATTGACCTTTCCTTGGGTCATCTAGAGTTCATCATTTCGAACCTGAACCAGAAAAGGACACCTCTTCAGTGACTGCTGAGCTAACTAAAGTCATAGACGAAGTTAAAGTTCGGAGGTTCAGCAGGTACTTGTGGTGGGGTCTCAGGGATGGTTATATTCTCCAAGTCTAACAATCTGAGTTTCATTTCCATATTAAGAAGGGTTTCTAGTTCTTCGTGGGACTCCGAAGACGGCATCTGTGTGGAAATGTTAGAACATTCAGAGGCATGGTCAATGCAACAAAAACATGACGGGTTCTATGTCGCTCAAGGCTGGTTTTCACTAACCCATAAGTGCGAGCATAAGCAACATCCACAAATATAGTAACTGGCTGTTTTCCTAAAAACAAGCTTTAAATCCCATTCAAAACAGGCATAACGGACCCACAAACGCAGAAACAAACAAATTACTTTGCATGTTTCCAGAAACAATTAACCTCCGTAGGAACTGTTTCCCGTTTTGCCCGCCAACGAAACATTTTTAGTTTTCTGGGAAGCAACGTTGTGGGGCCTTAATCAAAGGCTAAAAGCCTGCGAACAGAGTCAACATTAGGATAATGTAATCCACAATGGCAGATACGCGGAGGACAAATATTTAGATGGTCTAGAGCTAACTGTAGTATTTTTTTTCCGCGAAATCTGAGTGACTCAAGCCCGAAAACTTGGCAGAACCAAACGACAAGAGGGCGAGCTATGAGACAAGCAATTTGCCTCTCACTAGAACGACTATGACAGCCTAGGATGAAGGTGTACGAAAAACGAGAAGCTAATGTTTCGTCAGTCACATTCTTGCTTCCTGCAATTGATATAAACTTTTTCACGGGGGTACGTAAATTCACAACCTTACCTCTTTGTTGAGTAGCGTTGCTAAACCGTCTGTCCAAATGGCAAACTGAAACGAAGTGAAAATAATCACTTGATCGTTTCATGCAAGAGCTTTCTTCAAGTTTTCCACTGCATGAAGCGACATGCAGTATTGGCAGTCCATCGTAGGCTACTATACAGTCACGCCCTTTTTCAAACTTCTGGGTGAAATGAAATGATCAAACACTCCCCTCCCCCTCTGGGTTCAACCCCCATATAGGGTAAGGAAGAGACAGTTCATGGACAGGACAATTGCACAAAACGAGGATCGGAAAACAAAACAATCTACTAACACCAATACTAACCATTGCCGGGTTTCCTGCAATGAAGTCGAGATGCTTCTCATCTGCCTCGCTCTCGTACATAAGAGAAAAACATAATGATACATATCCCTGTGAGGAAATGAAAAAAAGAGCTTACACATACGAACAAATATCCCCAATCATTGACATATTTTTAGTGTCCCCTCCCTTGTAGTTTTGAACCAAATTCAAATAGCTTATCTATGACGGAGGAGACAGGGTTGCACATTTAGATGAAATGAACGATTTTCTGGAAAAATTTCAGGTTAACAATTACTAGAAGTACATAAAATTACGCTAGTCTATTTACTGGTGTATAAAATATTTCTTGGTATTTCATTTCTCCCTTCACTTTACCTCAATCTCATCAGTAATTCATAAAGCAAAACCAAAGCAATTCATGACGGTGACAGAGGTTAGGAAAGCTTATCTTTAAACGCGAGCAAGCAGGTGAGCGATTTTACGATTTTATTCCTCCACATACTCCTCACTTTTAGTTTCGATTGAGAAGATGTATCGAGATTGTTTGATCACACAGCCAAACACCTCAAGATTCGTCAATAACACTCCGCCGCGCGTTGTATTTTCAACTTACTTCTCGCAAACCTGAAACTAAATATCTTACTTTGCCGATTTTCCGATCCTTGCTATGAGGACAATCCTTTCCAACCAGCAGGTTGTTGATTTTGGCGATTGGTACTGTAAAAATAAACAATATATATGGGTTCAGTATTGACCTAGTGCGAGGACAAGATGGCTGGGTATTGGTCAAGTTCTTTTTTTGCGAGTTTAAGGACCGAGACAGAGTCGAGGTCCATAACCTCGCAAAAAAGAACGAGGCCAATATCCAACCATCTTGACCGAACAAGTTTGGTCGATAAAGGATCTAATATATGGCTTTCGGGGAAATTTTTCTCGCGGGACACGGCAGGCAGTCCCGAGCGGGCAAGATAGCTCCATCTTGCCCACTCGGGTAGCCAATCACAGCGCAGGATTTGACTCATCTTGCCCGCTCACGGAGCTGGTCATATAATAAAAAAAACTTACAAGTGTCGCTTTTATGGCAACGAGTTACGGCAGGAAAAACACTACATATAGTTTGCTGTGACGGAGTGCTCAATATTTTTTGTTCATTTTTTGGCTTTTTTCCCTTCCGTCCTGTTATTTTTTTTGGGGGGGGGGAGGGGAGGGGCGAGGGGGAGGGGAGGGAGTTGATTGCTTTAATAGAAAAACCCAGGCATAGTATGTCTGGCAAAACAGAACAACAAGCTTGGTACACATTACACGATATTAACTGACAGTGCCACATGGAAGTACTGCTCTTTCATTTGCATAGTTACACAGCAGCTAGGCTTTCACCTAAAGAACCATTTTGTACAAAATAACGAACAGCTCCACTTGAAAGTACTGCTAAAAAACGTTCACTGGAATGGTCGCACACGATGGGGTATATTCACAGAATAATCACAGCACCACACGAAAGTATTGCCCATCCACAGACAGGAAGGCCAGAGGACTCACATTTGTTAGGAAGATTTTCTAGCGAAGGCGTCTGGCCCTCTTGACAGTCGCCGTAATGGAGAAATTTTAAATTTGGTGACAATCTACAATACCAGTACCTATCTGCAATGACAAAAAAAGAAACAATTCGTTATAAGCTAAGTAATACGTAATTTCTTCAGTTTAGTTGTTTGCTGTAATGAAAATCCATTTTGCGGTTTCCTTGTGTATCAGTAGCTAAAAGAGGTATGAAAGAAACGTGTGTAACAAGCATCTCTTTGACTAAACAACTTCAGACTTCGTCAGTTGAAATACGAAGTTTTTTGATTGCAATAAACGAAACTTTATTCTTTAAAAACGTAGTTTCTAGCCAGCTTATAGTCAGCGACATAAAAAGTCGAAATCGCCGAGTTCCACCCAGAATGCTGCCTAGAAATTTAGTCGCGCGTGTAAAAATGTCGCAAGTAGCCCTAAGAAGAAACGAAAACCACTTCAGCACTTGGGAGGCGTTAAATCACCGTGTACCTGTAGAGAAATACCGACTTCAAATCTCTGAAGCAGTTCTGCACAACACCGCCTCATGTTTTGCAATAGATCTGTTTCTTTGTTTGTTTTGGTTTTTTTTTTTAACCCAAATTCCCTTAAAACATTCTCGTGTCACAGCCTACCCATCTCATAACAACGAGGTTGTCCACAGGTCCTTACCTCTCCCTCGTGCCCGACCTGGGGCTTTGTCAAATTGAGCTCCTTGAATAAGCTGATCCAACCTCTAGAAACAATCAACATGAGTTGATTAGAGTTTTTTCTTTCAGTGTCACGTCCAATATTACAAAGCTTTACATTTTTTTATTCATTCTTTTCAAGATCCATTAAAATATTATTTCGGCTTAACGACAGATTTATCATTGATTTATTTTAGTGTTCGACCTGAGAGTTTGGAAATTAATACACTGTCATTTTTATAGTAACTGGTTTGAACCCAGGAGTATCAGTAGTTCATATAACGTGATCGTCCGGGTGAGGGTAGTTCTGAAAAGAACTGTTGTTGGTGACTGACGTTTCGACAACCTGAGCGGAAGTCATCTTCAGAGTCAAGTGAATAG